TGAGGAGGGCGGGGAGGGCGCGGGCGAGGGCGTGGACGCCGCGCCGCCCACGCCCAGACACCACCACCACCACACCAAGCACCTGCTCAAGTACGGCGAGCTGGTCATCCTGGGGTAAGTAACCACCTGGCCAGGTACACGGAGCTGGTCATCCTGGGGTAAGTAACCACCTGGCCAGGTACACGGAGCTGGTCATCCTGGGGTAAGTAACCCACCTGTCCCCAACTATGGGAAACATGGCCTGGTTGCCCTCATCTGCTGACCTGATCACTAATTACGAAACCCAAAATTATGTATACGTCATGTAACCAAAACAGATGTAAATCCTCAGTTATTTAAAGATGAAATAATAAACACTTTAAAATTACTGGGAAAAGATCTTGTTTCGTGATATCAGATTTGTCATCTAAAGTGGAAAATGTGGCAAAGCATCATTTTAACGAAGAATCATATGAAGCAGTATGAAAGAAGTTGCATATCAACGACCCATATTAAGACGACCCATTTGCTCTAAACTAGCAAACAATAGAACCTAACTAGAAAAAATACCCCATTTACTTTATTTTTAATCAACAGTGGATAACTGATGATTTAGAGTTGCCTAGCTTGGAGAGTTGACGAACTGTGGAAACTGTCTACACTTAATCGCCTCCCAAACACATGCGGAGACAAACCTCCACCTAATAGAACTGACAGGATTATAGTTATAACAATAGACTGGTGTCGTCGTGGAAGCAGTGTGGGAGGAACATTGGAGTAGGTCAAACCTGCACCACCGCCTGGAGAAAATAGGCACCCAACTGCAGGAGTCACACGACACGCCCTATCAAGAAGGGAAACTAATTCAAATAGGAATCATGCTCGCTCTTCGCAGGAGACGAAAGTTTATTGCATCATTATTTAACCACCCCATCCTCGAGAACGTCGGGAAGGGTGGATATAGGCGTGGGAGGTATATGTGGGGCTGTACTTAAGGCTTTAAGTTTATATATTTAGGCTAATGTGTGAAGGTTCGGGGATGTTGTGGTTACTGGGAAGGTTGGAAAGGGAGTTGGGATGCGGGATTAGTTGGTGTTGGGGTTTGTAGGAAAGTGTGTGTGTTTTTCCTCACAGTGGCCACACATTTACAATGCTAACCAGTATATGTACATTTTCCTCTGTTCTCCATGGACAGGGCGAGAGATCTGTTAAACATATAGTTCAGGGATTTATTGAACAATCAGCCACAGAAGGTAATTGTAGTGCTTGAAAGTTGTAGCATTAAATATTATGATAGAGATCGTGACGAGGCATTCACATGAGACTAATAGAGCAAGAACTCGGGAATGTGATGTTATAGTGGCCAGAATACGCCTGTGATATAGACGTATCTGGCAACTTTCTCAAACCCCAAATGTCGAGTGCACAATGTGTCAACTTTGTAGGAAGTTGTGAGTGTGTGTGATTAGTAGTGGGCTGGAGGGGGGGGGGAGGGTGTCCCATGTGACAGTGTGTGGAGTGACACACACTGACAGCCAGTGTGACGCAGCCAACATTGCTCAAAGATTGATTTTGACTGTGCTCCCACTCCACATCCCTCCCATCCCCCACTTCTCTACATCTCTCCCTTCCCACATCCCCCTCCATCCTCCTCCCCATATCCCTAACTTCCCCCCTCTCCACATCCTCCTTCCCCCTCCCTACATTCCTCCTCCCCTCCTCCCTCCCTACATTCCTCCTTCCCCTCCTCCCTACATTCCTCCTTCCCCTCCTCCCTCCCTACATTCCTCCTTCCCCTCCTCCCTCCCTACATTCCTCCTTCCCCTCCTCCCTCCCTACATTCCTCCTTCCCCTCCTCCCTCCCTACATTCCTCCTTCCCCTCCCCCTCCCTACTTTTCTTCCCCATTTTTTCCTTTGTCCCATCTCCACAGTCTTCCCTTTCCTCCCAACATCCCTTCTCCCTCCCACATCCCATCCCTTCTCTCTCCTGCGTCCCTTTCCTCCTCCCTTTATACGGCGCCTGACAGCTGAATGGACAGTGCTTCGGATTCGTAGTCCTGAGGTTCCGGGTTCGATCCCCGGTGGAGGTAGAGACAAAAGGGCAAAATGTTTTTCACCCTGATGCCCCAGTTATCTAGCAGTAAATAGGTACCTGGGAGTTAGACAGCTGCTGTGGGCTGCTTTCTGGGGGGCGTGTAACAGAAAAGGAGGCCTGGTTGAGGACCGGACCGCGGGGACGCTAAGCCCCGAAATCGTCTCAAGATAACCTCCCTCCCGCGTCCCTGTCCTTCTCCCTCCCGCGTCCCTGTCCTTCTCCCTCCCGCGTCCCTGTCCTTCTCCCTCCCGCGTCCCTGTCCTTCTCCCTCCCGCGTCCCTGTCCTTCTCCCTCCCGCGTCCCTGTCCTTCTCCCTCCCGCGCCCCTGTCCTTCTCCCTCCCGCGCCCCTGTCCTACTCCCTCCCGCGCCCCTGTCCTTCTCCCTCCCGCGCCCCTGTCCTACTCCCTCCCGCGCCCCTGTCCTACTCCCTCCCGCGCCCCTGTCCTACTCCCTCCCGCGCCCCTGTCCTCCTCCCTCCCGCGCCCCTGTCCTACTCTCTTCCGTATCCCTTTTCTTCTCCCTCCCGAAGGATGGATATAAGAGTGAGAAGGGAAGGGACTGCTACCTAACTACACACACATAATTGGGAATGGTAAAATAGTATAATATTTAACTGTCTATATTATAAACATCTAGAGGTTATCTAGAGATGATTTCGGGGCTTTTAGTGTCCCCGCTGCCCGGTCCTCGACCAGGCCTCCACCCCCAGGAAGCAGCCCATGACAGCTGACTAACACCCAGGTACCTATGTTACTGCTAGGTAACAGGGGCATAGGGTGCAAGAAATTCTGCCCATTGTTTCTCGCCGGCGCCTGGGATCGAACCCAGGACCACAGAATCACAAGTCCAGCGTGCTGTCCGCTCGGCCGACCGGCTCCCCAGTATAATATTTATATAATAGTATAGAACATAGTATAATATTTAACTGACTGTCTCTAATAAAATTAGCAAACACCAATGGAAAGTGATAAGCAACAGCACTAGTATTGAAAACATTGTTCAATAGTTTTTGCTTTGCATTTTGACTAGTGACAGTATACCAGTGACCAAGCACATACAATACACATTAGCAGCCTCCCTCTTTAAGTGCCACTATTGTCTGGAAATAACTCACTCAAACTACCAACATACAAAGCAATAAATTCAGTACACAACAGACATTACCACCAAGCCATCACGAGTTGAGCCTAAAACAATTTTGTGCAACAGATTTATGAGATTATCTGTCCCTGCAAGTTTGGCTGATCTACTGTTGAAATTTCACTGAACATGGTCGATATTCAATACTCTTTAGTAGTGTTTTACATGAGTGGAATAGCAACAAAACAAGTCGTGTGCACGTTAGGGGTGAGATGGGTTTCACTCCTCAGCTACAGAGCATATGCTAAAGAACACAACTTGTACTGCTCAAGTAGCCCTCACTCGTACAGCATTCAAATTTACCACTATACCCTCATAATTTTGGTCTTGCAAACAAGTTTACATCCCAGGTATGTTCAAACTTGTGCTTTGTAAACTTAAACAGGATTAAAATTATTTTACATTTTTGCTAAAGTATCAAACAATTTAAAAAACAGGTCAGGGTCAGATACCTAACATTCAAAAAAGGCTAGTTTTGATGAACCCTAGCTCATGGAAACAGACAAATTACATTAATGGAGTTATTCCTAAAATATATTTTGAGGTAATTTCAGCACCTTTCCTGACAGCTTGGTCAAAATCCAAATTTACTTCTGTGTGCCTAATTAGCCATGCTGGGATTACCTGCTTGATGGGGTTCTGGGAGTTCTTCTACTCCCCAAGCCCGGCCCGAGGCCAGACTTGACTTGTGAGAATTTGGTCCACCAGGCTGTTGCTTGATGCAGCCCACACGCCCACATACCCACCAGAGCCCGGCTGATCCGAAACTTCTTTTAGAAAACAGTCTAGTTTACTCTTGAAGATGTCCACGGTTGTTCCGGTAATTCTTAGGCTCGCTGGTAGGACGTTGAACAACAGCGGACCTCTGATGTTTATACAGTGTTCTCTGATTGTGCCTATGGCACCTCTGCTCTTCACTGATTCTATTCTGCATTTTCTTCCATATTGGGATTGCTTGCAGCCTGCAAATACTAATTAGTAGTACATATTACACAATTGATCAGATATCTTAAGCAGAAATCTATCATTTTTCTCTTTTGCAAGATTGTACTGTACAGTACAGTATTTGCCTTGGACCAGTCTTTGTTGTTGTTTGCTACTTATGTTGTTCAATAACGTACTTAACAGTGGAGATCGTGTCACACCACAAAGGAGATTGTAAATCGGATCTTGAGGTTATATTGAGATGATTTCGGGGCTTAGCATCCCCGTGGCCCGGTCCTTGTCCAGGCCTCTTTATTGTTACCCCCCCCCCCCCCCCCCAGGAAGCAGCCCGTAGCATCTGTCTAACTCCCAGGTACCGATTTACTGCTAGGTGAACAGGGGCATCAAGGTGAAAGAAACTCTGCCCATTTGTTTCCGCCCCCACCGGATCGAACCCGGAACCTCAGGACTACGAATCCAAAGCGCTATTCACTCATCTGTCAGGGCCCCACCTGACAGCAACAAAATTACATGTGGCCCCAGATGCAAAAAATTACTGACTAATAGCTCTTAACACCACACATCATAAGACTCTTTGAAAGGGTGCTAAGAAGTAAGATTACAAAATACTGTACATGGAATCACTGTCTAGATAAGCCAGGACAATATGGGTTCATACCAGGCCACTCCTGCCTCTCTCAATTGCTAGACCACTATGACATAGCCTTAGATGTCATGGAAAACAAGAAAAACTGTGACATACAGTACACATTTTATAAAAGCTTTCAAGAAATGCGACGATGGTGTTATTGCACATAAAATGCACACTAAAGGATACTAAATATAATAGTGCGTCATCCTTTGCAGATAACACTAAAATTTTTATTAGAGGACATGGCTAACCTTCAGTCGGATATTATGTACAGTAATCAGGTCTTCCAATGGGCCACCAAAAATAACATGATCTTTAATGAAGGTAAGTTGCAAACGGCACTATGGGGGAAAAACTAAAATATCAAAACGGAAACCATATATCAAACACTGACAAATTGTACTAATGGAAGAAAGGGCAATATAAAAGATTTGGGAGTAATCATGTCGGAAGACTTTCTAAAGTTGACGATAAAGTAGCTGTTGTGACTGCAAGAAAAGTGACAGGTTGGAAAACGAGAACCTTTCAAACACGATGCTATACCAATGATACTATTTAAGACATGTGCTCTTTAGAGTGGAATGTGGTTGCATACTAACAGCCCCATTCTAAGCTTGAGAAATTGCATAGGAAAAGCCTGGAAAATGTGTAAAGATATTTTACTCCCCGAATCCAATAAAAAATACATCTAAATATTTGGGACTGCTAAAAAGTTTAAAATCTGTAGTCTTAGAGCGCTGGCCAGCGAGATACATAATAATTTACATTGAAAATACCAGAGGGAGGCATGGCAGGATGTGCAAAATAGCCCTGTTGTAAAGTAGAGGGGCAATAGATATGCTGAGAGATAATCCTCTCAATATGAAGGGGACTAAGTTAAATTGCACATAAGGGGGCACAATTAACCTACCTCTCAGACTGTTGAAGAAGAGAGGACTTGATGAACACCTCCAAAGGATGCTTGATCAATTGGGCTGTGATCCATACGCCAGGGTTCTAGTAGCTGCATCCAACAGCCTGGTAGGCTAGACCAGCAACTAGGAGGCCTGGTCAGAGACTGGGCCACTGGGACATTGATCCCTAGAACAAGTAACAGGTAGACAGGTACCAGGTATACTTTTGGAAACAATTTCCATTGAATGTGATCCAGATACTTTGAGGCAATTTCATGTACATACAGTACTTCTTTTTTCAGGTATAATGGTTACCTGCCGCCTTGTGACAAAGGAAGGAGACGTAGCAAATTTGTGCTTCACAGGCGTCCTGGTGCAAATGGTGTCAAACCTGCTAAACATTATGTTGTTCGAACTCCTCAAAATACACAGGTAACAGTATACAAATGTTTTGTTGGGTATTCCCAGTAGGTATACCTTTTGATTAGCTTTTCTGTTATATTTAATACGGTAGTGTTGCCTTTGCAATACTGTATCTGAAGAATGCTTTAATGTTATTCCTATTCACTGTAAACTCTCGTGATTAATGTGTAGTGGTGCAAGTGTAGCTCCAGTAACATTTTTACACCATGTTCCCTGATGCCATGGAATATTCCCAGTAATGTTTGCAATTACTTCTCTATGAAGTTTTGTAATAGGATCAATATAGAAAGAGACCTACATTCCAGCTCTAAACCTCTACACAGTAGTGTGAAGGAAGTTGGAAAGAAATTTAGAGAAAGGGATAGCAGGTAAAGGCAACACTGGAACTCGGTCCTTTTATAGAACCATTCTTTTCTCTCTCTTCATGCCATAAATTTTGAAATAAACCTAAAATTAATTGCATTTTAGTCCATTAACAATGTCAGTAATTTAAGTGTCTGGAGACTAATTTAAGTGTCTGGAATAACTTTATAGAAGTAGGAAAAAATATACTTTTGGTGTATTCAGTACAGTACAGGTATAGTATTCAGTATAGTATGTACAGTACAGTAGTTGGGAGATAGAACAACCTTCATGAGAAAGTTGTATGCCCCAAAAATACAGCTAATTTCAAGAATGAATTTGATCATATTTATGTAGAAGATTGGGGCATCACGGACATTGCTCTGTTGATGTAAGTGCAATTAGGGAATTAAAATTGGATAATAACATGACCATCCATATACCAACACCCAAACTAGTAGACATTTATCAGTCTCGGGAGACTATGGAGTTGCGCTCTGGTTGTTGGTCTGGAGTGGCCTCTCCAGGGTGCAAAGCCAGGGTAGATTGATATGGGGGAGAAGCTGTCACCCATGCAGCAGGCCCCCCCCCCCCATCCTCCACGTCCACCCCTGGAGCTACCCAACAACTCCAGTTCGTTGGCTGTTGTTGTCCTGGGCAGACATTGACTCCGAGTCTTCAGAGTCCTAAGCAGTTGTGTACCTTAGTGGTGTGTTCTGCTGTGTGTGTGGCACAGTGGCCAGGAGAACTTTGAGAGTACTGGGGTTGCGTATGCCCTGTAAGTACTACCCTTGAATTTTAGGGTTCCCTTTCATAGAACTTTCAGGGACCGCTTCTGTAGGGGGGTCTTTGCTGCTCGGCTCTTACCCTTGGGGCCAGCTGGGATTTTTGTGGCCTCTGGTAGGAAGTGATATTGTTTGCTAGTAGGGGGTGCAAGGTACAGCGCAGCTAGCCTACCAACGTGGCAGTCTGTTTCTGTTCCTCTGGGGATGTTGTACTTTTGCAGGATTATTCTTTTATTTATGTATCCTTGCCAGCAGGTGGGGGGGGGGGGAGTCTTCCTGGTTTGGTAATTGGTCCATTTCTGTTGTTTGGGTGGCCCTCCTCTAGGCCCCTGTGATTGTACATGTCGCAGGTGTTCAGCTTTAGCAGATTCCCTTGTTAATTTGGGCCCAGCCAGTTTTGCTGTAACTTGCCTGGGCTTCCTGTAGCAGTCAGCCTACAGGCCCTGGAAATCCCCATTGGGCTCATTAGACCTATGGATGTGTCTTCTGGGTTCTGCCTCGACTCGTGCGAGTTTAAAGGTTGCCGTGTGCCCTTGTCTTAGGGTGACAGGCACCGTTTTTGCCTCCATCATGCTGCCTGTTGGGTCGGCGACACCTTTGACCCAGAGTCTTGTGAGTTGTGCTCTCTGCTAGTTCTCCAGTTTACCCACTCTGGTAACATGGATATATGATATATGGGTACAGGCAGCATCCGGCCGGCCAAGTGGACATCACGCTGTACACGTGATCTTGTGGTCCTAGGTTCGATCCTGGGCGCTGGCGAGAAACGATGGGCAGAGTTTTTCACCCTATGCCCCTGTTACCTAGCAGTAAATAGGTATCTGGGAGTTAGTCAGCTGTCACGGGCTGCTTCCTGGGGGTGGAGGCTTGGTTGAGGACCGGGCCGCGGGGATACAAAAGCCCCGAAATCAACTCGAGATAACCTCAAGATCCGCTTTGTAGCAACCTAAACCTAGCATGCAGTGCGCTAGGTTGGCTGCCCACCCAGATGCTCATCCGGGGTTCCGGGACTGGTAAGGTTTCGTGGTAAGGTGTCAGGCTTGCCACTTTCATTACCTTCCTTTTGGCTGGAATCTGGCACCTCGCATATTCTTATCCGTGTCGTGGTGACCCGTCTGCGACTGCTAGGAGTTCGGGTTCTAGCCTACCTTGACGACTGGTTGATGTGGGCTCCCAGCCGGTCTGTGTGTCTGTGTGTCCAGGTGTGTGGTTCTTTCGCAATGTGCCAGTTTTGTGTTCCTGGTGAACTGGAGAAAAATCCCATCTGGTTCCATCCCAGGTTCGGACCTGGCTGGGTCTCGTGTGGAATCTCGGACCGTTTCCTTGTCTCTCCCTCTGGAGTCGTTGCTGCGGCTGCAGTCCCGCCTTCTGCTGTTTCCTGGGAGGGGGGGGGGGTTCCCTGGTCACTTGATGGTTGCTCGAGCAGTTGTGTGGGAGTCTGAACTTTGCCATGCTGGTTTATCCGCCGGGTCAGGTCTGGCTTCGGTGTCTTTTGGTTCCTTCGGGGTCCTCCCTTCTGCCTCTCACAATCGTTGGGTTCGGTCACCGGGGGCCTTGTGTCGGTTGCTGTGTCACCGGCTTCCTCTTTGAGTTTTTCTAGGTTCGGTGCCTTGGCACCTACCCGAGCCCTCGCTTGATATGTTCACAGATGCCTCGTCTCTCGGCTGGGGTGTTGTGAACAGAGTTCACCAGGCCGGCCAGGGGCCATGAGGTCCGTCCTTCTGTTGGGCTTACAGCACGGTGCAGGAGTTTGCTGCGGTTTGGCTGTCACTTCGGAGGGTTTGGGTCTCTTGGGATCCCATGATTCAGTGGTTCATTGTCTGAACCACTGGGGGTTCTCTTCGGTGGACCCATTTTGGCAGGACTGATCGAGGTGGGGTTACCTGTACATCTTTTCCCCGGTCCAGCTGTTGCTTCAGGCCCTGGCTCATTTGGAGACTTTTCAGGGGAGAGTAGTCCTGTTGGCCTCATAGTTTTTATGGTGGCTGACTCAGTCTTGGTTTCAGGCGCTGCTTGCTCGGTGTCGGAAACAGAGATGTTTTTGTGGTTCTGCCTCTTTCAGCAGATTGGTCCGGTTATGTACCTGGCTGGTTCGATCTTCTCTTCCGCTCTTTTCACCTGTTCTTTTTGACATGGGTCTATCACCATTTGTATAGTGTCCCACCTGAGAGCTTCGTCTTGGCGACAATATGAAGTTTCCTGTCTTGTCCTTTCTCTCTTGGCTTTTTCAAGACCGTCATTTGATGACAAATACTGTCGCCTTGTATCGTGCGGCACTGGCGGAGCCACTCCAGCTTGCGTTCTGAGTGGATGTCACTTCTGCCTCATTCCGTAAGCTTTCTCAGGCTGTTTCCCCTCCTGCCTGCTCATGTGCCACCTGAGCCGTTCTGGTCATAGGGCAGGGTGCTTTCATACTTTTCTCCTCAGTTTGTAGTGGCCCTTTTGTTTCAAGATTATTTTTCCAAAGCTCTCTTTCTGTTGGCGTTGGCCTCTGAGGTTCGGGTTGGTGAGCTTCATGCTCTCCTCCGGCGCAGGGGTTTGACTGCTGTCTTCGGCAATATGTCCCGGGCTGACATTCAAGCACGGGGATTTTGGAGGTCGAACAGGGTCCTGGCCGCACGTTATCTCGACATTCCTGGTCTAAGTCGTTTGTGTGTGGCTTTGGCTCAAAAGTTTCAGCCAGTTGTCTCGACTTTGAGTTGAGGAGCGAGTGGCAGCTGCCTTCCGGGTAAGTCCCTCTTTTCTTTATCTTTGGTAAGGTAGTGCCAGGAAGCCGATGGGACTCCACTCAGAAAACCGCATTGAATGTAATGAAATGCCATTTTCTGGGCGAGCCCTGGAGACTCCCTGGTTCCAGAGGGAGCTCCAGAGCTCCCTCCTCCAGAGGAAGGGAGGGAGGGATTACTCTCCTCCCTCCCTCCCTCCCGGTCGGCAGTTTTTCACGTGGATTTTGATGCTCAGCCTCTGAACTGGAGTTGTTGGGTAGCCGGGGCAGGGGCTTCCAGGGAGGGAAGGGCTGCGCGGACAAGCAGCACGGCGGCGGAGTGTTGTGTTTGCTTGTTCTTGAGTAGGGGAGTTCTGCCTCTCTGTTCGGTCTTCGATTGCAATTTTCTAACCATGTGGGGTCTGTTTAGTTATACCTACCTTTCCGGGTGCCAACCCTGGTCGATGACAGACATGAAAGGCCTCCAAATATATGACGGTTTCCATAGGCCATTGCTCCCGTTTGCTTCTCTGAAGGGCCCAGGTTCTGGCTCGTGGTTCCCAGTAGGCTGAACTCCAATTGATTGATGCTCCAGAATAATATAACAAATATCAGACTGACAGCTCTAGGGAGCCTCTGGGGCTCTCACAGAAAATGCCACTTCATTACAGTACATTCAACACTTGTTTTTTTCTGTAAAGTATTTTCCTAATATTGAGAAATGCCTGGCTTAGGAATAGGATACCTCCCACAATCCACTTCCATCAAAACATCTCTGGTTATTGTTAATAGTTCATATTGTCTTCAGAACAGGAGTGTTGTCATGTTAGAACTGTCAACTAAGATTTATTGGCTAGTCCATAAGAGATACAGACAAGAATAATGCAAAGAACATTTTTTATTGTGTGCTTTAATATTGAATTATAAAGATTTTTAGGTTAATATACTGTGGCAGTTCTCTGGAAAAAGATTGTAATACGTCTGTCTCTCTCAACATATTTCATCGTATAATAATAATTTATTTTTGCAGGCTATCTTAGATGCTCAACAACACAGCATTTCATACACACTATCACGGAATCAAGCAGTTATTGTTGAGTATCAACTGGACACTGAAACCGACATGTTCCAAATAGGACGGTCATCTGAAACACCTATAGATTTTGTTGTCATGGATACAATACCTGGTGATAAACATGGAGAAATGAAGGTAAGTAATTTATCAGAAAGAGAGGTTATAAGTAAAAACTATGATCATGACTTTTCCAAAAATCTCATCAGTAAGTTGATCAGGTACTTATCAAGCTTGCCTCCAGACTAGGGTGTAGCATGAGGCTCTTAAAACCAATTGCCAGTATACAGGTAAGGACATTATGAGGGTACAAAGTCTACTTTCACTTAAAGGGTTTGCTCACACCTCCAAAGGATACCTGATCAACCAGGTTGTAATTCATATGTCAGCTGTGAGCAGCTGCGTCCAGCAGCCTGGTTGACCAGTCCAGCAACGAGGAGGCCTGGTCGAGGACTGTTCTGCGGGGACGCTAAGCTTTGGAATCATCGCAAGGTAACCACAAGGTAAGCTAATCAGAAGAAAGACCACCAAGAAGAGGAAACAAGAATGAACAGGAGAAAGGGAACTTAAAGGCAATGTATACAAAAATAGATGGGATTATAAACAAATCCAGTGAAATTGGAGAATGGGCACGAGATGAAAACCCAGACATAATACTGTAGCACTCATAGAAACAAAGCTAATGAAAACCATAACAAATGCAGTGTTTCCGCGTTATGCAGCATTGTGCAATACTAGAATAAAAAGTGTGAGGTTGGTGTTCTAATTGAAGAAAGAGTGTAGCAGATGTCTAAATGTAAGGAAGTTTGAAATAGTGGAATTAAGTGCAAAATTTTAAAGAATAAGTAACATTAGACAATACTGTTGAAAGTAAAATCACTTAAAAATGTGAATACAAAATGGGTATTCATTAGAAGACTTGCATGATTTTAAGTTTGTGAAAATGGGAGCAGGAAGTGCAAAGGTGGCATATTCACTGAAGATACCAAGAACAAAAGTGAGGTCCCTCCCTCAGTAGCCCGGATCCATAATGCCTGAACAAGAAAGCCGGAGTCACGCTGGGACACAAAGCCCAGAACCCTCTGGAGCCAACCAACATAAGTGCAGATTCCCATAACTGCTGCCATTGAGACACAGGCTTCCTGCAGCCCCCAGGGGCAGAAAGAATGCAGCTTTCTATCCAGAAGATATAAGGGCAGCAGAAATTGTAGAGTCTTGTACAGAATCATATGAGGAAGCTAAAACAACCCAGCAGACATGGCAAAAAAGTTACACAGGAATGAGGTATATTGGCTAGCAAGACACCTGACAGCTGGGTGGCCAGCGCTCTAGATTCGTAGTTCTGATGTTCCGGGTTCGATCCCCGGTGGAGCCGGAGACAAATGGGCAAAATGTTTTTCACCCTGATGCCCCTTTTACCTAGCAGTACATTGGTACCTGGGAGTTAGACAGCTGCTACGAGCTGCTTCCTGGGGGTGAAGGCCTGGTCGAGGACCGGGCCGCGAGGACACCAAGCCTTGAAATCATCTCAAGATAACCCTCATGCAGAGGCTGGCATGCCAGGGTAAGAGGAGTGCATCAGCTAAGTAAACACCGAACTCCGGCCTGAAACACTCGGCTAGGTAGGGCGTATGCAGCCACAGACAAAAAAAAAAAAATTGCCAGACACTCGGTGGTATCCTCAGTTAAAGTGTAAAGCTCCAACACGTACTAGAAGCAGGAAGCAGGTTACCATGATGGTAACACAAGCACACAGCTAACTACCACAGTACTTACCATCCATGGCCCATGCAGTAGAGAACAAGTACTGTATAGTGTGCTACTCGAGTGCCAACTTGAAGGAGGAACTCGAACCAATCGGAAAATAAGTGTCTGGTGGGGCAAAGGATATACAAGCTGACTACCAGCTGAGTACTAGCTTGATCTACTAATTCCTGATCAACCAGGCTGTGATTTATACATCAGGCTGCGAGCAGCTAAGTCTACAGCCTGGTTGACCAGACGACCAACCGGGAGGGAGACCGGGCCATGGGGCTGTTGAACCCTGGAATCTAGTCAAGGTAGACACAAGGTAGGTACCAGGGAAGGTAACCCTGACTCACAGTTGTAGCAAAGCCAGGAGGCACACACAATCATGAGGCATAATAGGACACAATAATATAGCAATTGCCCCATGCAAAACAATTGTTCTAGGAATAGTTAACTGTTCTTAATTGAACGTTTAAAGCAGAGGAGCTGTCCAGTCAGGATGATGCTCCCAAACACACCAGACAAGTACTCACCTAGTTGTGCTTGCCGGGGTTGAGCTTTGGGTCTTTGGTCCCGCCTCTCATCTGTCAATCAACTGGAGATTGAAGTTAGGTGTGTGCTTGGCCTGGACCTGGGTGACCTGAGCTGCCATCTGGTATTACAGTAGTTGGGCGTTATGGTTAAAGAATCACTCGTAAATCTCTCCTTGTCGGGGGATTTTTTTTTTCACTTGTATGCCTCACTTTAACCCCCCAACTGCTCGGCTTCCAATATGGCAACCCCGCCCTAGTGCTCAGGAAATAAATTCTCTGGATTTTTTTTTTTTTTTTTTTTAAAGTGTCAAAAACCCTTCCCTGAGTATGGATATGTTAACAAAGTCGAAATTGTACTTACTTTGGCTGCTATGGGGTCCATAAGTTCACGCGTGACGTCGTCAATCCCTGGTCACTTGTGGCGTACGCTCCCGGGGCCAGTAGGACGCCCGGGTCAAGATGCGCGAGTTGCCATGAATATATTTTTGTTCATTTTTTGCGTACAGTTCCAAATACATTTAGTTTTTTCATGCCAATCCTATGTATAATGAACACGTACACTATATTATGGCAGTAAACCACTATGGTGAGCAAAACAGAGGCTGCCACACACGGTAAGGCTACCTCGATTCCCTCCCTCCCTCACCAAAATTCCTCCTCCCCCAATACTACACAAATATGTACATGGGTACATACACACATTGTATATACCCATGTACATGTGTATTCACAATAGCGAACCACTAAGCTAGTATGGTGAGCAGAACAAGAGTGGCTGCCACACGGTGACGCTATCTGGAGTCTCTCCTTCCCCCACCAAACCACCACCTCCGACAATACTACGCACAACGCTAATTATCACCACAATCCTACTGTTATCACAATCCTGATCACTAATTCCTGTAAATGAATATTTGACCAAGTTTATTTTGTAAAGGAACCTACGAAGTCGTTTGACGATTCCTAGATGGACGAAATAATGCTGTGGTGCTGTGGCTAGCGCTGTGAACATCGTGAACAGCATTGAATCACTGATATTTGAGTATTGTACACAGTCATTATCACACTTGGGCTCTTCTGTAATACTATCATGGCTAAATAATACACGTTATATATATATTTTAACATTATTAGGCGATGCTGTGGTCGCAATGCTAAACAGCAGTACTGTGAGCTCATGCTGTGTGCACCAGCCTTGGTTGCTTACTCGGTACCGAGGCTCTCACCCGGGAATGTGGCCCACGACTTTTTTTAAAAGATGGTGTCTGTTTACAAGAGCCATGAGGAAGCTGATGTGAACCTCATGTAGCCGCGGGATTTTTTAATGGAACGCTAAAAATATAAATACCCGGAGGTGCGTTGCTCACCCTCATTGAGGGCCTGCAGGCGCGTTGCAAAGTTGAGGGGTTAATCATTTATATTTGTATTTTTTCTGGTGTTTTACTTATATTAGTTTTAATTTTTTTCAGGTAACGCAGAGTACAATAAGTAGATTTGCGTGTCGAATAATTGCTCACAGAACTACTCGCACTACTCAGGTTTATGCTGCTGGCTTCGACTCGTCAAGAAATATTTTTCTGGGTGTAAGTATTACATGTAATCTTTATTGCTATACAAAAAAATTCAAGCTTTTAAATTTAGTTTTAATATATAACACCAATTCTTGTAAGAAATTTAGAAAATATTGCAAATATGCTATGCAGTTGTGCTCAGTAACAAATATTTTAATTGTAAAAGTCCCTCAAAAATGTCATGCTGTATGTGTACAAAACATACAAAATGAGATTTGTATGTGTACAAATATCTCTCAACATTAATGAGGTGTAGAGATCTCCAACATAATTAGAATGTCTATTGTAGGCATAATGGAAAAAATAGTATGTGAGCACTTTTCTAAATTAACACATTCGTTCAGGAGGGACGTATATGACGTCCACAATTAACTCTGCGGATGTATCTGACGTCGAAATTTAATATATTTGTTAAAATTACATTTTTTTATCAGATCATTTTGGGACATGTTTTAAACTTTGTGCCAATGATACCAAAATGAACGATGTAACATGAAAATTGGTTATCAAACTAAAAAGATTATACACATATGTCAGCAGGTGTAGCGGGTGTGCAAATGCATTTTCGCTCATGGCTAATGCCTGGCTGACTTTGACCTTTGCTGTGGGGAAAGGGTGGCTTGGATTTTGGACTATAAATGCATGTACCCCTTACAGGGAATTCTATTGCGAACAAATTGATACCAAAATGAACGACGTAGCACGAGAATTGAGGTGAGAATCCCGAAGAGAAGACACATTTTTGGGGGTTGCACGCTCACGGGTAACCCTCGACCAATTTGAGAGTTTGGAGCGGGTGGCAGGCTGAGCTTTTGGACTATCTATGTATATATCCCTGTAGGGAATTCTATTGCAAACAAAAAGATACCAAAATGAACGCCGTAACACGAAAATTGAGGTGAGAAAACTGAAGAGTATACAGTACATATTTGAATCTGGCCAAGCGCTCGTGGGAAACTCTCAGCTCCTCTTGAGGTAGGCTGGAAAACGCGTACCGGGGACGGGGAAAGTGTTAGAATACTGTACTTACACAGTAGTAGCCAGTATCTGGAGACACACACAAAAAAAAAATGCCCGGATGTGAATATTCTCAATAACATACTGAAATATGAATGGTATTTAATATGAAAATGTTAGAATAAATTCTATAATATGATTTTCTGTGATTATGATCTCTGCACACTTCTTACAATAATCATTAGACATGCTGTAGGATTACACTGATAGATACAGTACTATGAAAGATGCATTATGGGGTAATGAAATATGTGACTGGAGTCTGACATCACTATTGGCTCAATACCAGTAACCAGCCACAAAGCCAAGTACTGTACAGTATTTCTGAATCTGTAGGAAATGCCACCAATGCATGGAAAACACACAATGATACTGAACATATCAATATCAAACCTTAACCCCCTCAGCTGTGCACTTAAATTTCCATGACAATTCATCTCTTGTGCAAGGAAAAAATTATACAATTTTTTTTTTTTTTTACTGTACAGTATTGTTAAAAAGCTTTAAGTGATAATGCAAAAAAAAAAAATTGACTTTGGCCGTGGTGGAGGGAAGAAGTCTCATGATGATGACGTGATTTACAAGCACCTATGGAGCAATCAGCCTGTGGCAATCACTTGGGCCAGGTGCTAATTTGCCAGAAAGATACTTTTTACCTACAGTATTTGTCACCAGTTAGTTTATTATTATTACAGTATTATTATTATTATTATTATTAATAAATTATTATTAACAACACAGAAATCACATTAACGTGATATATATAAATGAGAAAATCCACTAGGACTATAGGTGGGCACAAATCTACGACACCGGCATTGCCAGTCGCATACTCTACCATCAGACCACCACTGACTTAAGTCATACAACTGGATTTCTACTGAAATAACGAAGTCTGGAGGCACCTCCTGCAGCCAGTCCAAGTGTTTACGTATGACCCCCAAACACTCGGTTGGAAGGGCAGAGTGGTCCTTCACCTTACGTCCCAACTTCAAAAACACACAGAAATCATATTTATTGTGCTGTAGCTGTGTGTGTTGTGGCTCTATGCCTCACGCTGTGAACATCGTCACCAGCACAGGGTTCATTAATGCCTGAATCTTATACGTAGAAGAGCCTGGCCATTTAACAATCATGGTTAAATAATTAGTTATTTATTTCATCATTATTAACACTTTCGCGCTATCTGAACGCGCCGGCGCGTCCGGTTTCGTCTAACGTAAACGCATAGTGGACATAAAGTTATGTCAACTTTTAAAATATTTGTATAAAATTCAATTTTTATCCGATTTACTTTGGGTTTGTTTTAAACTGCGCGCTATGAGGCTCTCTTTCTCACCACTAGGCTGCATGGTATAATAAGTTCATGAAAGGTGTGGATAACTTCGATCAAATGGTATTTTGTCCCAAACGGGTTGCAGGTGGGTGACTTTAGCCGTTTATACTGGTAATGCTTCCCCCATATCATGTATTATATGCATATGTCTGTTTAGGGAATTTTATTCCGATCAATATACAACCAAAAATAACTGTGTGCATCAAGTATAAACTTGACAAACATAACAAAAGTAAAAACATTTCGTGTGTGTTTGACGCTCACTGATATGTTCCAGCGTTGTTTTATATTTGGCGCTATTCTAACTTACGCTTTGTTGATATTTTTTACCTATGGGCACATAGAACATTCTATTGCGAACACATTGACGCAAAAATGAATGACGTACATAGAAAATTAATGTCATGAGAGTGAAATAAGTATTAACTTTCAAAGCGCCGTGCGTCGTCCCGTCACCGATACCGGGTAACAATTTCACCAGTTCCCACACTCTTGTGGGCGGGCCGCAATCATTATTCTACGCTTATATTCATATCACCGTGTTGGGAATTTCATTGCGAATCCATTGATACCAAAATTAACGCTGTAGAACAAGTGTGGAGGTGATTACAATCCCAAGAGTAAAAACATTTTGTTGCTGATGGGCGCTCACGGCGAGTCATCTTCGTAGTTATTTATTTGGTGCTGGTATCCCTATACGTTTCGTGACTCTTTTTACTGATGTTCTTCTAGAGAATTTTATTGCAAACAGTTTAAGGGTTAATGGCAATCACATCCCTGATTGTGATGTGCAGGTGATGGGTTAATGGTATCTAAATGCCAGTGTCCATACAGGGTAGAGGAAGCTGGCTGCCTATTAGGCACTGGGGACTGGCCTTGAACAGGGCAGTCATGAGCATATGTATTATGTCACATTCATAACTGTTCATATAGATATATATAACTGCATGTACAATAATAATTTTGGTTTATAAGCTAATTTATAACCTAATTTATATATCCGTATTGAAAATTTGTAAATATTGTTGTTTTTGACACAGGAGAAAGCAACGAAGTGGCAAAACAATGGAGAAATTGATGGCTTAACAACAAATGGAGTATTAATTATGCACCCTCCAAGTCAGTTCTGTGGAGGAGAAGCTAAGCCTGGCATATGGAGAGAAGTGTCAGTAGGGGGTGGTGTGTATGCGTTAAGGGAATCTCGTTCTGCTCCACAAAAAGGGATTAAGGTTAGTAAAAGTATATGTAGTGTTGGTGCTACTGTGGATGGCTGCTAAAGCGTTGGGGGTGGTGCTGCTTTAACTGGTATGCTGTATATTATATTGTGATTTATAATTAGGTTAGCATAATATGATTGGTTCAAATGATTGTGTTGACTTCATATTACAAGAGTTCAGATTTCCATTGATAAAATTATCGTTTTCAGGTCTATATTTATCTTATTTTTAATTATTGTTGAACAGATAGAGGAGGAAACTAATGTTCTACAAGATGGGACACTGATAGACTTGTGTGGGGCCACACTGTTATGGAGATCGGCTGAGGGGTTAGGCAAATCACCGGTAAGTTGTTTGTTTATTTAATATTTAGCAATTTGACACTTGTTAACAAAATTTATTCAGATACTATAATATTGTCAGCCATGCAGTATAACAATAGAGATCCCCATTTCTAGCACCTTTAAGACTATTCTGAGAACTAAGTTGTTTTAATAAATAATGATTTAATTAACTGGCTTTTGGTGTACTGATTTATTTTATTATTTTGAGCAATTAAATCTTCTTTATTGTGTGTATCCCTGGGTCCAAAAAGTCCTTTTTTGAGCAGCTTTTTTTTCTTTTTGCTCCAAAAAGTCCTTTCGTATTCACTAGAGAGACACGCCTGAATGTCTCATTCTTTATAAGGAACATTGGTTGTGATGTAGGTACATGAATGAATCTCTCCAACCAGGATCCTAAACCACCTGACTTAAAGCTTATTGAACTTTTTATTTGTAGAAAGCACCAGCAGAAAAAAATAGCCCCTAAAAAGGAATCCATAAACAATGGAGAATACTGAAACCTATACAGTGACAAGAGAATGGGAACAAATACCTTTCTCACTACAAACACCAGTGCAAGCACAACCTCTGCTACAATCACAATTATAAATACCTATAAACATTTCTGGCAACATCACAATTATAAATAGCTATTGTATAAACATTTCTGCCAACATCACTACTACAAATATCACCACTTCCACAATCGAAACACAACTGTCATTATAATCATAACCTTTCCAACACCAAAAAATATATATAACACAACTACACTATATACACAACTACAACTACATACATAACTGCAATCACATAACTACAACCATAACTACAGCTACAACCATGGCTATAGACATGACCACTACACTAATATAACCCACTACATTTTTCCTGCCCATTTCATTAGTGGTCCTGCATAGTTTGCCAAGTCACGGTTGAACTGTGTCTATATTTCAGTTGTAGTTTATGGCCTAATTTATTACTTTTATCCCAGAAAATAAGATTAATTAATTGCACATGTAATAGGATATACAATAATAGTGTTAGATTGGTATATGCCCTGGTTGTCCACTAATAGTAATTTCTAGGTTTTACATATTCTTTTAGTGTTGATTTTTAAGTACTTCTCTTTCAGACGAAGCGTCACCTTGAACAGATGGTGGATGAACTGAATGCAGGTCGTCCGCAGTGTCCAGTGGGTCTGAACACACTTGTGATACCTCGAAAAGCTACTTTAACGGCTACAGAGAAGCAGCCTGTAGTGTACCTTATCTGTGGCCATGTGCAAGGGCTACACGAGTGGGGCCATGAGAAAGACTCCAATGCCCATACGTGTCCCATGTGTCTTAAGGTGAGAATCTTATCTCGCTTTATAGGGGCTTTATTTCTCACTGCAGTTTCAAGGTCTCTATTTTCATTGCCAGATAAATGCTGTTGTGTATTGTATTGTAACAAGGACAAAGAAGAGCACATAGGGTTCATTTATAATGTACTGGATTGGATACCTAGCCGTTCCCAAATCAACCCAATGAGCAGGACAACCTGGAAATCGGAGTGAGACCTGGAGTTAAATGTGATTCCTTGCATTTTCTGACCAGTACCCAGGTCAACCTATGCATACGTTCTTGATATGATGCGAGAGGTTGTATGGATGATTGGCACCCGAGAGGCAGCAGGAGGGTGGATATGGAGTGTGTATGGTGGGTGGCGGACCTGGGGTTAATAGCATCATTATCAAACATTATAGACTGTTACAGTTAAGTTTTACGGTCAGATTTTTTTTTACTCTTGCAGACATCGGTGCATAATATTTTACAATATAGTTAATGTTATACCACAAGATTTATCTTGGTGTCCTTTTGGCACTGTCAAGTGGCACTTTTCATTTATACTAACCATGATCCACTCATGTTAGGCTCATACTTGACAGCAATTAGTGTTAAAATATTTTGAGGATAGCCCCAAGGATCTGGCTTCCAATCTAAAACAGATGCAGACATTCTAATTTATTGACGAAGATATACTGTATGCCCATTCATGCTTTTTATCCACAGATATACAGTTTAAATTTCGAGTATATAATACCTAGAGAACCTTTATAGAATTAGAAGAATGTAACACAGTCAAATAGTATTTCATTTATCTAGTTATAAACAACAGTCTTAAAATGCAATTTCAGCATGTCATTTAAAATTCTCATTGGGTACACATTTCTTTTACACTTGGGTACCTTCACACAGTTACTGTACTCGCTTAGATGTGCTTCACGGTCAAACATCCGCTCCAAGCCTCATCTTTCAAAACAAAAAATAATTTAATACAATATCTTTGTAATAGTTTATTATTATTTACATTTAAAATTGCATAATGTATTAGCTTCACTCACTTTGTTTAATCCATTTCTTATATTTACAACTCTTTAATAGTGAAGAAGTGCTCTCTGGTATCTTTAACTCTCCTTTGTCTAGTTACCGTCTATGCCTCACTTTTGTCTGACCCTAACCTTAAATGTCTGTTAATACCCTGTAGAATCTTGTGCATCCGTGCTATTTTGTGCTAAATGACATAAGAAACATACTACAAGGTTTCATAATGGCAGGGGATAAATCACACTGAATATTGCATGGAATAGTTGAAGGTATCGCCACTCTCTTTGCCTGATATCAGCCTGAGCTCTCTGTACTTTCCATACCTTTTTTATCCTGTATTTGGCTGCCTTGCATTTCCTGTTGAAGCGTTGCCTTTTTGGACAATATGCTTCATCTTGGTTGCTGCAGTTTTTTTTTTTTTTTTTTTTTTCCCTCAAAATTTTGCAAATTTTCTGTCTTGCCCACGTGTCTGTTATGCCATTGTACAACCTGGAGATAATTTGTCATTTATAGAGAGAAATGGGTATTTTATTTAAATTGAATAGGTTTCTGAGCTTTATTTTAAGATTACACATTGATATTCATGTTTTATTTTGAGATATTAAACCAGTTGTCTTTCAGGTTGGGCCTGTAGTCAAACTGTGTATGGGCATTGAGCCAGCATTTTATGTTGACAGTGGTCCCCCAACTTTCTGTTTCAATCCATGTGGACATATGGCCTCAGAAAAAACAGTAAGGTAAGTCCTTTTTGTTTTACACGAGCCATAGTTTTATCAGGTAATTTGTCAATTTATGTAGAGACAACAAAGTTTATTTATTATTGCACTAGTTTATTTGCAATTAATGATTCCCTGTGCAGTGTCAGGGTGAAAAGTTAGAGCACAGGACTGTGTATCCACCTAATTAATTTAATTTGCATAATAAACACACTATTTGTATAATTAGTAATAATTTGCATAATCAATAATAATTTAATTTGCATGATCAGTGAATCAGTGATTATGTAATGTAATAACCTGGATAAACACACCCAGTCATACACAAGTGCTCTGATCAACCTTGGAGAGGAACTAAGTATTAGCAGATGAAAGCATGTTTAACAAGAGGAAAAGTGAGTGCTTGACAGCCTTGTGTGCTATGGTTCTCGGTTTGGTTTAAACTAACTTTATTATATGACTAGATATCATTCCATCATAGCATTGCTATTACTTTATAAGTAGTCTGTGTGTTAATATTTTCACACTCATGATTAATTCTGCTTATGGAGGATATACAATATTATTTTGCCCAGTGTTGGCTTTAAATAATATGGGGGTAAGTATTGGACCACAAATTTTAGTAGCTAGTAAACATGTTGTACTGAAGTAATAAAGGTACATGATCAAGGGGGCCGGGTGCACAATTGATCAACTTCCCTCAAATGCACTCAAATGTTTTGTGCATAATCTGTATGGTAAATGCTTCAACTTCTCTTAATGGATCATCATAACATGAAAAGAAATGTATAAAAAAAAAAATTTAAATTTCAAATTTGAATTTATATTTTGAAATGTCACCAATTTTTATTTTATTCATTATAGGTCTCAGAATAGCATATAATGTTCATTTTCCTCAATTTCAAATTTAGTTTAAGAGTATAGTGTACTGTAAAAAAAAATCGTCAATGTATCCTTCAAAATACAGTACAGTAAATGCAAAAATTAAACCTAAAAATTTATAACTCCTAAAGTTATGGGTTTATGACTAAACACATTTGCAAAGACCTTAAACCTAGGAATGTTGCACATATGTAAAAATGGTGAATTGCTCGAACTGAATTTTTAACTGTCTCAAAATTGAAAATCCTGTTCATACAGAAATACGAAGGTACAGTAAACTTTTTGACAATAAATATAGTGGTTTGAATTTGTCATATTTTGTAAGTTTGAATAAATATTGCTTTTCATTCTTTTTGTACTTTAGTATATAAAAGTTGTAGGTCAATATGTTTTGAAATGAAGTAGAGAAAAAATAATTCCCCCCCCTCAAGAAAAAAAATATATAGGGATAAGGATAATGGGTTAGTGGATACAAGTATACAGTGGAACTTCAATTAACGAATTTAATCCGTTCCGGCACCGAGCTCGTCATGTGAAATACTCGTCTTTCAAAACAAATTTCTCCATTTAAAATATTGGAAATAAAAATAGTCCGTTTCACCACTGACAAACATCAATATGACATTTGATATTTTAAATAATGGAGCAGCCTACCTGACATACACTGAACAAACCTTTATGACATTTGTTCTTTTTTCAACTGTGTTCACTTTTCTGTGGGGAGCCCCCTATGGCTCCCTGGAGCTTATCGGGCTAATGTATGTTATATTAGACTGGGACATTAGCTAAGGAGTTCAGACCTATCGGGGACCAGTGCCAGAACCTGGCCCATTCAGAGAGGTTTAAGGGAGCAATGGCCCTGAAACCTCCTGCAAAACCCGGATTCTGTTTGTGATGGATCTGTCCTCGTTTGAGTTCAGTGGTTGTTCCCCATATTGGGTGCGGTAGGAGGTTCTAGAGTCTTCCTGGCTAGCAGACTTCAAATTCTTTTCCTTGGAGGCCTGGCATGGGATCTGTCGGACCCACACACTTGAGTGGAGAGAAACTTCTACTGTTCTGCAGGTTTACTTGGGTATGAGTTTGAGTACCTTAATGCGTGTTTGTTCTATGCTTCCTCAGGATGTTGGCCACATGCAGGTTCCCACCCTTTTGGCGTGTTTGGTTGCGGAGGATTTGCAAGCCTTGTGCATTTGGCTTCGGTCTTGCGCTAATTTTTCCTTCTCGAGCTGTCCTCGAATTGGCTTGATGAAGATGTGGAGGTGTTGAGGGCCTTCGTCTGGTGCGGTGGCCGTGGCGATTAGTGCGTCGGCCACGCTGTTGAAGCTCTTTGCGCCATTCTAAAGGTGGTGGTGTCTGTTCTTTGCTTCTCACCTCATGTGCCAGCAGGCTGTGCTCTCTTTGGAATCTGCTTGGGCCCTGGCTCTTAGGTTTTTGTCGTTGTTTTGCCCGTTGTTGTTTGCAGAGACTGCTGTCACGCAGTCTGCAGGCGACTTTGTCTAGTTTGTTGTCCTCTGTCGGACTTGTTGGTTCTCCGGGGTGGCCGTTCATGGCCTTCTCGGATGGGTCATACCAGGGGTCAGGGGTTCCTCCATTCGGGGTGGGCCATTGGTGCCAGCTTTGGAGCCGGCATCGTCTGGTCGGCACAATGATCGCTCTGTTCGTCAACCGGCTTCTCAAAAGGGGCGTTGGCCCTTTCGCGGTTCGCCCCATTGACGGGACGATGGGGGGAGGGGGCGGCTCGCGCTGTTTGCTCATGCTTGGTCTTAAGAATTGTGGGTGTTTTGGGTCATATCCTCCAGCCTATGGTGGCTTTGGGCGGCTCCTCCTCCTCCTCCTCCAGGGGATTCGGGGCTCACTGGGCAGTGAGGGTTCTCGGGTTCTGACCTACCTTGACAACTGGCTGGTGTGGGCTTCCCCATCGGTCTGCTTGTCTGCTCGCCAGGGGTGTGGTTTTTACCCAGCTTGTCGGTTTTGTGTTCCTGGTTAACTGGAGGAAGTTGCATCTGGTTCTGTCCCAGATTACGACCTGGCTGGGTCTCATGTGGGACTCTCCGACCGCTTCCTTGTTTCTCCCTCCGGAGTCGTTGCTAAGGCTGCAGTCCTGCCTTCAACTGTTTTTCTTTTTTTGGTGGGGGGGGGTTCCCAGGTCAGTCGACGGCTGCTCGAGCAATTGTGTGGGAGTCTGGACTTCGCCGTGCTGGTTTACCCACCGGGTCGCATCTGGCTTCAGTGTCTGTTCTGGTTCCTTCGGGGTCCTCCCGCCTCTTTCATGATCGCTGGGTTTGGCCTTTGGGGCCTTGCGTCGGTTGCTGTGTCGCCGGTTTCCTCTTCATTTTTTGGGGGGTTCAGTGCTCTGGCGCTTACCTAAAGGCGCCAAGGCACATAACACATCTACCTTGCTCGATGTGTTCACGGATGCCATCGTCTCTTGGCAGGGGCTTTGTGACCAGTGCTCACCAGGCCAGCCAGGGGCGGTGGGGTCCATCCTTTCATCAGGCTCTCGGCCCGGTGTGGGAGTTCACAGTGGTTTGACTGTCACTTCAGGGAGTTTAGGTCGCTTGGGTTCCACGATCCAGCTCCATTCAAACTGTTCTCTGGTGGTTCGTTGTCTGAACTGCGGGGATTTTATTCTGTTCTTGGCTCTTTGGGGCTGGTCACTTCGAGTGAGTTGCCTGCTGGATTTTCAGGGATTGGCTCTCCATGTGGTTCATATCGCGGTGGACGCCTTTCGGCAGGACTGGTTGAGGTGGGGTTAACTGTACCTCTTTCCCCCGGTCCAGCTGTTGCTCCAGGTCCTGGCTCGCTTGGAGACTTACCTGGGGAAAGTTGTCCTTCTGGCTCCTTGGTGGCCGGCCCAGCCTTGATTTCAGGTGCTGCTCGTTCAGTGTCCGAACTCGAGGGTCTTCCCGCGGCTCAGCCTCTTTCAGCAAATTGGACTAGTCCAGTACTCAGCTGGTTCGGTCCTCTCTTCCGCTCTTTGCGTCTGGTCTTTTTGATGCGGGTTTATCATCATTTGTATGGTGATCAAGTGGCTTCGTTGGTGTCTTACCTGAGACCTTCATCTCTGCGGCAGTATGAAGTTTCCTGGCGTTCTTTGACATTTTTTATCTCTTCGTAGGTTGTTTTCTATTTCTGATCGGGATGTCTTGTCCTTTCTTGGCTTTTTCAGGACTGTCATTTGATGACAAATACTGTCGCCTCGTAACGTGCGATGCTGGCAGGGCCACTCCAGCTTGCATTCAGGGTGGATGTCACTTCTGCCCCATTCCGTAAGCTTTCTCGTGCTTTGTTTCACATCCGGCCTGCTTATGTGCCACCTGAGCTGTCATGGCCCTTGGACAGGGTGCTCTGCCATCTCTCCTCCTCAATTCCTAGTGGCCCCTTCAGTTCAAAATTGTTATTCCAAGGCCCTCTTTTTGTTGGATTGGCCTCTGGGGGTCAGGTTGGTGAGCTTCATGCTCTTTTGGTCCTGGTAATCGATTTGTTCAGTTGCAGCCTTCTCCTCCTTTTTTGGCAAAGAACGAGACAGCTGCCTTCTGGAAGGGTCCTTGGGTTATTAATCCTTAGTTGGTCAGGACGGGGGTGCATCATGTGTGTATTTGTGGGTCTTCGCCGTTATCTGCGTGCCTCGGCTTCGGTGGCCAGGGATACACTTTGGGTTGATCCAGTTTCCCTCCTTCCCTGCACCTGGTTTTGATATGCCTATCTTTCTGGGTGCCAACCCTAGTCGATGGCAGACATAGAATTGCTCCAAATACATGGAGGTTTCCATAGGCCATTGCTCCCTTTGCATCTGAGATGGAGCCAAGTTCTGGCTCATGGTCCTTGGTAGGCTGAACTCCATTTGACTGATGCCCCAGACTAATACAAAATATATCAACTTGATAGCTGCAAGAAGCCTCCAAGGCTCACCCTTCTGGGTGAATGGCATTTCATTACATTCAATTAGTTTTATATATATATATATATATATATATAATATTATTTATTTATTTATTTATTTATTTATATTAAAATGCATTTCTTAACATACAGTATTGAGATGAAATTTTCATGATGCTGATGCCAAGTAACATGAGATTTAAAATTTTTCACTATTTCATATTTAGGTGAATATTTGTGTGTACCTGGCCCCCTCAAATGAAATACAGAGTACAAAGACAAAAATTAGGCATTCCTTGATCATAGGCTTAATTGTAAATTAGGATGGTTAGACAATTGGAAGTGCTTGTAAAGTCCTAGAGCAACATGATTAGAGTTGATTTATAAATATTTTGAACACTGTACTTCATATTAGGATGTTATAAAACAGATAAGATTAGTTTTAGATGACATGAATGCTTGGAGTTGAAGGAAACCTATTTGAAACAAAAAATGTTTCCTTCAGAGGGCATCATGAGAGTGCTTGCCTCCTGCACTGTATACGAGTGCTATCTTATATTCATGTAACTACTGTGTTTGTTGGTTTCTGTGGCCTCTCATTCGGTTTTCTTCCATCTGGAAAAGTCCCCCTCTTCTAATCTCCTCGGTATTTGATATTTTGTGATGCTATTCCTTCTCATTTGAGATTTATTTCTAGTTGAAATAGTCTTTATCTTAGTAAAGTTAGATTATCTTATTTCAGCTTAAGAATTATACGCTAATAACCAATTAGACTTAACAGTGATGGTTTTGTTCAACACATAGTGTATTGCTGATTTGATTATTATCTACTGAAACATGTGGCAGATGATGCTGTACATGATTTAAAATATAGGTAAATATGATGGGTGTATAATTTAATTAAATCCTATGATTGTGTTGATCAACAGGTACTGGGCTGCGGTGCCTATTCCCCATGGAACTAATGGGTTCCATGCAGCATGTCCATTTTGCGCCTCTCCACTTGAAGGTGATCCAGGGTTTGTCCGACTTATATTTCAAGACAATTGCGATTAAATTCCCTCCCTTTATACACTGTAGTATTATGTATAGACAACCTCTGGAAGTATATCTCCACCCTTCAGTTTTATTTGCACTTAACGTGTTTTGTTAATAATGCCGATTAATTAGAGTGAACCTTGAATGCCACTCAGATATCATTCGATCTGTGTTTTTATGCAACTAGGATATTGCTTGTTAAATTATGTAAAAGTGAAACAAATGATACAGCCCAGTTATTTGGGTTGACACTATTCCTTGGAATATGAGTGCATCGGCTCAGATTGTGACTGCTGACACGGCTGAGACCAGCACTTGTAGAACTATGCAGCTTGTGCAATTGACTTAATGGCTACCCAGACGCCCTACATGCTGCTGCACACTTGTCTTACTGCACTTCATGCTCACTGTGTGCACTCAACACTGATGCCAACTTTCCCACCACTAGGTAAAAGCTAATGTATGTGCTCAACTTTATATATAAATATATACATATATATATATATACATATACATGGATATATACATACACACACACATATATACATACACACACACATATATATATATACATACACACATATATATACACACACACAAAATATGCTAGATATATAAAGTTGTATGATGGTACCATTAGAATACCTGTTTAGTTCATGGGTTTGTACTAAATACGTTGTGAGTACACCCATTGTGTTAAGTGCATCTGGTGAACGTGAACTGAAGCTTAACTCTTGAGTGTCAAGAGCTTCTCTTGTAAGTAATGACCTATTGTACTTCACGATTAGCCCTTAAACTGCTGCTGTAGCCCTCGAGTGATAAGGGCCTATGCCATGCATGTATTGCCCCTGGAAGTTTTAATGTACCCTGAAATATTCAAAATTCCTGAAGATTGTATATGCCCATCATTAGACACTAGAGACCTCTGGTATTCATTTGACATATTGGAAAAACTTGTGAAAGTTGTTACCTTCCTGGGCATTATTAAAAAAACTTGCACCGTGTTAGTTGCATCACCATTCATTTACTGACACCTGTGCCAGGAACTATTGATGTTGTACAAAATTTCAAGGGCTTATGTGTACCTGGGCGATTATTACTGACTAGAAGAAATCTATTACAAATGGCGTAACTTGAAAACTACTTTTCCAAATTTGACATTTTCACCTCTTGACTAAAATGATTAGTATTTCTTTTTCCAGACATCAAAAAGCAACACTTTAAGATATGGAAAGGAAAATAATTAATTTTCTTATACGCACCAGGAAATACAGTAGATCTAAAAAGAGTGCAGTTTGAGGGTTAACATTGTAAAATTTTGGATATAATGCTGCTGAATTATATATCCTCACCTTGTGGCACTAAAATGAAAACCATAGTTGGAAAAACATCATTAATGTGTTTGCAAATAGCATACGTCATCTTAAGCTTAAAAATAGTAATTAAACTTGACAGTCATTATTAGCATAACTAAACAAAATCATTTTGGACTATTAACAGTGGCATCTTTCACTTGATGTATCTATTTTTATGTTGATAGAAACATGCATTGAACCCTGAGAGAGAGAGAGAAAAAAAAATAAAAAAAATGTAGCTGCGTTTAAAAAAAATTCTGAATGAAAAGTGTAAATGAAAGTTTCATATTTTCCTGATATATACATTCTGCATATTTTTCCTGGAGACAGACTGCAGTCGAGTAGTGATTTCTGTTTTGAGTTTTGTGCATGGTGGACTGTGGTCAGTTAAGAGATAATTTACAATTATGTACATACCTAGTGTCTAAAAGTGCAGGTATTTGTATAATTTGAAAATTTGTAATTATGATAATTTATTAATATAGTTTTATTACCTAAATAATAGGTAATTAACACTTTCGCTCATCCGGCGTGCGCGCCCCAACCCACCCCAAGGTGGGCCTGGCGTTTCAAGGGATCGCGCACCCACACTAACATATGTACTCTTTCCAGTGTTCTGACCTCAATTGCAAATTGTGATATCAAGTGATATCAAATTGTTCGCAATCTAAAGGGACGCATTTTAAAAAGAGCACCATAATAATTGAACAGTAAATGGAATTTTAACAAATATTTTTAATTTTGTATGCCCACCACAAGTATTTATAATCTTTCCAGTGTTCTGACCTAAGCTGTCGTGCTACATCGTTCATTATGGTATCAAATTGTTTGCAATCTAAAGGCACACATTTTAAAGCAAGTCCCATGATGATTGGATAAATAATATAATTTGGACAAATATTTTAAATTTTGACGCAACATGAATCGCCAGCGGACATCCGTCAACATATATATTGACACAGACTGCGTCGCCGCCGGACGAAAGTGTTAAGACAGTTACTTAATAGTTAAAAATAGCTTACAACAGTGGAATATATACAGAGCAGCTTATACTGAAGAAAATATAGGTCAAGACTGGGCAAGAAAAATTGGGCACGAGGGGGATATTAGATTTGTTAACACATTGCCATGTACCACATGGTTGGTTAATTGTCGGATGTTAGCAGAACCGTCATTAGCTATTGCTAGATGTGCTAAGATCACTAATTTTGCCATTCCCTTATATTTATTTGTGGCCTGTTATATGCATTAAGAAAAATGGTTGATAACAATTGATGACATTCTGTTTTCTGTGGAGATGACGACAAACTGGGAGTGCACGTTACTTAGTAACAGTGGTCTTCCAAGCCTGTGTGTGTTCTTCACCTCTTATTAACAATTTCAGTACTGGCCAACAAATTACGATGTTGATGGTCTCTCTTACTCGTATGCAGTATTGCTGTGCTATTGCAAAATAACTTTGAAATTAATGCACAGTAAAAATCCATAATAATAATAATAATAATACTGTAATAATAATAATAATAATACATTGCAATCAGTGTAGCAAGGACATCGTAGCATGTAGGCAGAAATGACGTACATTTTTTTAATTAATGTGCTCTTGGGTATGGTACGACTACCTATCTAAGAGATCGGTAGTCTAGTATTTTAGGTGAATTACCTGGGCAATAAGTATTAGCATTGGATAAGTGAATGGATAGGCAGCATTCTTGAAGTTTACTTGATCAATAACCTTTTAGTCAAATATTTACCTGTACAGTAAATTCTTATGTTTGGCAGTTTCAGCTTTCAGTAATTCATATTATCTGAAAGAGTTCCTTCAGTAGCTCCTTAACCCTTAGGCTGCTAAGGGCCTTTTTGCCTTAAACACCCACAGGTACAACAACAAAAAATCCAAAAAATTCTATTGTCTTAGAAAAGTGTTCACTTGTGTTCCCTGATCACGGGAAAAATAACAAAAAAATCGTAGGTGGCATATTTTGGCCGCAATAGGACGGGGGAAGTCGGACAAAAAAGAGGCGTTGACAGAGCAGGCGCCAGACGAGGTCTGCTCTGCCCCAGCTGTCAGGCGGGGGGTTGCCACAAAGTTATTATTTCCTAATTATTTCAATGTCTTCGATTGATTTTCTTTGTTTTTTGCAGTAATATTATTCAATAGTGTGTATTGTGTATATATAATGTGTGAACCATCGCTGTACTCAAAATTATTGTGTTCATATTAGTGATTCAATTATGTTTATAAAACAATAAACGAATAGTTTTTCTGTTATTACACAATATACACATATTATGTATACGTATCTGCATGTTTTGTTCACCATAACGAACCCTTAAGTTGGTATTGCGAGTCAAAAAGCAACGAAGAGTGGCCTTCACTCACCAGCCAGTCAGCCACTCGCCACCACTCCCTCTTGACTCCTCCCAACATACTTTTTTGCTTTTATTCACTATACACAGATGTTAAATATAAGTATATACATGTTTTGTTCACTATAACTGTACATCTAAGCTTGTATGGTGTGTTCAGGCAATAAGAAACGTAGCTACACACAGTCAGCTGGTGGCTGCTGCTGTCGCTGGTTCTTGGCCAGAAGCACTAATATTTCTCCTCCAACAATACTGTTTGTGGTGTTATTACACTATATACACACACACTATATATATATATCAGTTTTATCACAGTCAAGGGTCTTCTGTAATACTATCATCGCAAATAATAGCATGTACATATTTATTTTGACATTTTTAGGAGATGCTGTGGTCACAAGCTGAATAGCGGTGCTGTGTGCTCATGCTGCATGCGGCAGTCTTGGTGGCTCGCTTAGTACTGAGGCTCTCACGCCCAGGAATGTTGGCCACGATATTTTTTTCTAAGTGGCGTCTGTTAACTATCGGTCATGGCTGCACTATAGCTGCCCCTATCCCACGCGGGGTGTTTAAATTTAAGCGCTTGACACTAAAACGGCTATTAATGTGATGCGCGGTATCGGTAATCTTAATAATATTATTGACAGCCCAATACGACATTGCACGTGGAAAAATCCAGGGTAAAAACGTTCAAAATGTGATGAAAATATTATATATTCTCTGCATAATGTTAGAATTTTGTGCAAAATATGAGTTTCCAATTTTTGTTTGAACTCTGACAAAAGGGCTCTTACCAGTTATGAAATTATTACACTTACCATAAATGCTAAGTGATTTGTAGTGGTGCATGAAAATGTAGATATGTGGTTAAATATGTAAATAGTGTATGTGCAGTGTAATGATAGCAAAAACATTGTTTCATTGTTCTAAGATGATGATAATTGTAGCACACCATATTTTTTAGTACAGTGAAGATTCACACATTTTTATTATATAAATTTATCACATTACACACTATTGAGTAATATTACTGCAAAAAACTACATATAAACCCATTCAAAGACATCTATCTTGAGGTTATCTTGAGATGATTTCGGGGCTTTTTAGTGTCCTTGCGGCCCGGTCCTCGACCAGGCCTCCATCCCCAGGAAGCAGCCCGTGACAGCTGACTAACACCCAGGTACCTATTTTACTGCTAGGTAACAGAGGCATAGGGTGAAAGAAACTCTGCCCAATGTTTCTCGCCGGCGCCTGGGATCGAAGCCAGGACCACAAGTCCAGTGTCCTGTCCGCTCGGCCGACCAGCTCACTATTGAATAAATTATGTACTGTAGAAACATACTTGCGGCAACCCCCGCCACTGCTGGGCTGGAGCACACAGCCGCTGGCTAGTACTCGTGTCAGTGCTGGAATACTGCCACGCTTCCTTGCCCTATCACACCCAAACTACCAAAGTATGTCACATACAATATTTGTTTTTGCTCTCCATGATCAGGGGAAAGAAACATTTTAACAATATTAGAAGGATTTGTTTTTTCTTGTGCGCTGAGAGGTTGTCATTTTATAACAGCTGTGTAGGCCAGGGGTTAAGGAGATGTTCCAGGCCTTTGAGACCTAGCCTTGCCTAGAGGGAGCCAGAAGAACCCATGACACATTAGAAGGTGAGGAATATGAGGAAGAGCACGACTATTAGAGCAATGTAGATGAAGGTAGTCATACAGCTTGCTCCTTTTATTTCTAAAACAGCATCAACAATCATGTAAAAATCTTGAAATTTTGTATGTTTAATATTCCGTAAATCAATTGATCAAAATGGGATGTGCCAAAAGTATATTTAAAGTAGGAGTTTAAAGAGGGCATTGTATGTGCACTCCTTTCCATCTTTGACAGTCAGTTACTGCTGACATGAATATGGGGGAATTTTGTATGGGGGAAGGCAAAAGTCTCAAGTGGTGAGTGTAAATGATATTATTGTTCAGCATTCTCTAGAAATCTGCTACAGTCCACCGTTGCAAGTCATTCCTACTGTAAGCCCAACAAAGAATTAATGCAATATAAATATTTAGTGAACTATATGAAACTAAAATGTCTTAAAGAGAATTTCAGTGAAATACAATTGAAATAAATTTATCTTTCTACTCAGGCTATAACATTTCATGACTTGAGTGTATTTTCTTCATACCACATTGATAAATACTGCATACTGACTAGTAATAATTATACATCTGCAGGATAGATAGACCAAAATATTTTCAGAAGTAAGCCAGAATAAAGAGAGTCTGGATGCATATATTCCACTGTACAGGCAATTTAGGGTAATATACCTAATTTTTTTAAATATATCTATTGGTTATAAAATGTACATGTGGCATAAAAACAAGGAGTGTGCTTGTGTTTCTGAGCAGCATGAGAGGCCATGTAACAGTATCGAGGGCTTTGCCAGTGGCACACACTCTTGAAAACCTTTTTCAGTAATACCGATTATTATGAAGTTAAAAAATCACTTTGAAACCTGTTTTTTCTCCATTTACATTACACTAATACATGGTGTTAAACACTTTGGTGCGATGTTGCCCTCAATTCTTAGTGAAGCGGTGGAATGTCCAAATTGTATTTTAATAATTTGTCATTTAAGAGTCATCAGTTTAGGATTAT